CCCCAGGGCAGCTGTGGCTACAATGTAGCTGCCATCACCAGTGTGTGAATGTGTGTGAATGACTGAATGTAGTGTGAAGTTCTTTGGGGTCCTTAGGGACTAGTAAAGCGCTATACAAATGCAGGCCATTTACCATTCGCTGAACCAGAGATAACATCAGAGCAGTGCATCTCAGGAGGAGGAGGTCCAGAGTCTTCTTTTCAAACTGAAATGAGCTGTGGGCCACTGCCATCTCACGTTAGTGTTGAAGTAGTACAGAACAACAACAACAAACAAGAAAACATTTCCAAAGCCAAGTTGCATTATATTTCTTCACGTCAATAGTTTGAGACCTCTGCTCACATGTCACCTCCTGGTGCTGCTCCAAAGTCGACACAGACATCTACCAGCAGACGTTGGAGCTCTTCATGCTTCTATCTCTCATTAGCTTTGTGAAGACACTCACTTCTCGAGATCATGTATCGGAATTTCAGCAGCAGGACCACGCCTCCAAACACGCTCCTTCTGGTTGTCATCTACAGAGGTTCCCCCAGTTCTGCAAACTGATCATTCTCCTTTATGTGCCCTCCCTCCCTCCTTGTTCTCAAATCTTTAACTTCTTCACTCCTATTTAGTCCATGAGGATCTGCCCAGGAGCCGTCACGTGTCCCCTTCGAGGCCTTCCCCAATCCGCAGCTCAGTTCATGTCCAAGCTTCACCTTTACCTACTAAAACGCTGTCAAACCTAAATGAGGACGTGGGCCCAGCGAGTGACGTGCAGCCGACTCACCTGACCTGACCTATAGAGAACCAGCCGACCCAAAAACCCAGAAAGGCCATCAGAGCAACCTGGAGAGCAGTAACACCTCCACGCCGCACTCGTGAAGTCTCAGCCACGTATAAATGAAGCTGCACTTTTTCACTTTGATGGGTGATGCTGAGCAGCGTCTGCACCGCTGTGAACATTCAGCTGCCACAGACACAGGAACTCTTTCATGCTCTCAGCCTCCAACAAAGCCTGTCTTCCACATCTGTCAGACATTACTGGGTCAATATTTTCAACTGCTGGAACAAAGGAATTTGACAAATATGAGCTTAACGAAGGATTTCTCTTTATTTGACTGTATATATAATGAATGCACAGTAAGGGCAGCATGGAGGTCAGAGGTTTGCCCTCAGGGTTCCCACAGAGGCTGAGCTCTGTGCCGGCCCACAGGCACGCCTGGTCAGGTTACCAATCACAGTTGTGAATGTTGAACCTGTCTCTGTCAGCCCTGAGAGCCTGGCGACCTGTTTATGGATGGACTCCGCCCCCCTGTGGCCCTGAGCCGGATACACACAAGAGAATGGATACATGGAGTGTAGAAGATATGAAAGTTTAGGTTTTTGAATGAAATGATGAAGAACAGAAGGGTTTTTCCTAATATTCTAACCGTCTGAGATGTGGTGTATGCATGGTCCTAAATGAAAAAGAACAACATCAGGTTGAAACTGGAGGACCAATCAGGACACAGGAATCGCCAACATTATGCTCCTATATCCTACACAGTACATCTGTGCTGTCATGAAAACGATCATGCTGTTGTGATTTCTAAGCTTCGATTATGTTGTAAAGAAAGCTCACAGCGCTGAAGCTTTGTTCTGTAATGCTGGGGGGGTTTGGGTTTGAAAGGCCTGAACAGAAGGAGAAGTGAGTCATCGTTAGGAAATGAGCCACAGATCAAGTTCTGATTATCCACAGATGTTTCCACATAATCTCAAACATGCTGAGATAAAGTTTCCTCTGGAGTACCTAATAAAGTGGCCAGTGAGTGCAGATGTAATTGGGTTAAAAACCTACAAAAATAGACATTTTACTGGTATGTTTACCTGCTGCGAATTTTGACATAAATCTATTTTTTTCTGTCAATTTGCTCCGTTGTCTTTGTAACATACAGCACCCTGACGTACTCCTGAACTCCTGAGACTAAGCTTCCAATCATTAGTGAGGCTGAGGCGTGTCCCATTAGCACACAGCATGTAAACAGTGAGGTGAGAGCTAAGCATGCATGCCTAAACATGACAGTCATCGTGAGTGCTTTGTTAGCATTGAAACCAATCACTGCAGGAAATACCTCGCCGGTTTGCAGCTGCAGAAACTGTGGGAAGCGATAGTGAGCACTCAGCGGCACAACTGCAAGCTGCTCGCAGATGCACGTGTGGCAGATTCTGCAGCGCCTATTTGGATTGCTCCCTCTTTCTGGGATAACTTCAGAAAATCAAGTTCAAACTCAAAGGCTGAAAAACATCACAACGTGCAGGGTGTTTGTTTCTGCTCGCACAATTTGACAATCAAGATCACAGCTGTTTGTTTTTAACATAATATATAACATTTTGCAAAAAAAAAAGCATCTTTATATTGATTTCAAAACAGTTCAAATGTCCTTCAACGAGTGTGCAAACGCCTTGAGCAGAAAAGCTCATGTGAGTACTCACGCTTGAGTCTCAAAGCTCTGATTTCTCTTGGGAAAAGTTACAAAGACATTCAGGTGAGTATTAAATACATTAATAACACTGTGTTCAGTGGTTATCTGGTAGGTTAGTGGACGCATGAACC